CCTGACTTGAAAAAGCGCTATATAAGTACAGGCCAGTTACCATTTACATTGTGAACCCCGTGGCAGCTTCAAAGAAGGAGAGAGAAATCCTGTATAGTGTGTTGATTTTGACATCAAGGCACACTTTTGAGGGGTGTCTTTTAAAGTGAATTGGGGGAGGGTTGCATGTTAAGATGAAACATTGACATTGGTCCTCTATGTCCAAAATTATTATCATGGTTTATGGACCAACATAATTATGGAAAATTATACAGAGGAACAAACATTTAGACTACTGGGCTTCTATTACCCTTCTTTATTGTATTTTTTTCTACTTTATAGCCCTTTTACACTTTGATATCTGGAATAATATAATGAATTTTCTAACTGTATAACACATTTTTTACATGTTTATATGTTTAATTTTATATTTCGTTTGTGCCACTGCTATATTTCCGATCTTAACAGGATTTCATTGGTAAAATAAAAAGTTCCCATAGAAATAAGAAAGTTTACTTTTAAAATGGTCATAGCTTCTATTATGTGTAACCCCTTGTTTATTTGTAAGGGGTCCAGTGTGTTTAACAGTCCACCAGCTCCTGCACCAGTTACACCCAGTAACAGAAAAAGGGGCTGCTTCGTCTGTGAGCTTGTAAAACTTATAGTACTTTTCATGCTTTTCAGCTACAGCCATCCTGTTTTCTTCAGCTTTCAACATTGACAAGGGCAAACCTACTGTTCACAAAGGTGAGCGGGAAGATTTCTTTGGGTACAAAGTGCTTCAGTACTCGTCGCCCAATAATAAAGGGTAAGTTTTGCATCCCTACTTCTTTGGTTCTGTATAAGTTTAAGAGAATTGAAGAAATAGATTGAAGATCTTTTGAACATTTCCTGTGTCGAGTTGGAAGAGTTTGTGGTTAGAGGTGTTTTGGAACCTTTCATCATATTAATGCTACATATTAACGCCTTCATATTTAGAGCATAGACTTTAATGCTTGTTAAAAGACCTTTTCTGTGTTTAATCGCACCACCACTATGGTTTACAGGGTAATTATCACCGCACCACTGCGGCTGAATGGATCAGGAGGAATAGCCAAGTTTGGCCAAGATGGAACTGAAAAGTGGTTCAGTCCTAAAGGTATACAAACATTTCACATATACCCCCACTGTATTATGAAAGAAAAAAAAGGAAGTTCACTAATACAGATGTTTTAATTATAAATCCAAACATCTGAGGTGTAAATTTATCTTACTATTTAAAAAATACAGGATAACCTATAATACTGTCCACACACTCATCAACCTCCATTCAGACATGTTTTTATCTAAAGGCACCTCACACAATTAAAACAAATCATACAAACCGACTGGTTATAAGTTTTCTAAGGAAATCCAGCCTGTTGCATCGAGTCTTTGGCTTTAGGGATTCACTCGCCCTGGATGAACGTGTATTGACAGTAGACATTGGCTTGTATACTACCATTGACCCTGAAGCAAACGTTCACACCGAGCATTCATGCGGTAACAACAGGAAGAGGGCTCCAGCCAAACCAGGTTCAGCGTGAGTAGCATTCTGTCCAGGCTGACTGGGGGTTAAGAAAGACAGAAGCAAACATAGAAAATCAACATAGAAGCACTGATCTATGAATAAATTCTATGTTAGAAAAGGTAACTGTAAACCAGCGACACAGGTAGCTCTGCTAGAAAATAATTATAATGGAAATTTCTTTAAATAAACATTAACATGAATTCAACACACTACAGTAAACAGATAAATGGAGGCAGAAGATGTCTTTCAGTCATCAATGCAAACATTTAGCGACAAACAGAAGCTCTTTCAAGCTGGGCACCTTTTCATTCACAACACCTGTCCCATCAACAAGGAATCAGAATCAGAAATACTTTNAGCTCTTTCAAGCTGGGCACCTTTTCATTCACAACACCTGTCCCATCAACAAGGAATCAGAATCAGAAATACTTTAATAATTCTAGGGAGAAATTACTTTCGTTACATTACTCCATCTGTAATAGAGTGACTAGCAGTTTGATATAATACAATCCCATACCATATATATAACTAGGGGGTCCCCACTCCATCTCGCCATCAGTTTGGGGGTTCTTGGCCTAGAAAACGTTGAAGACCCCTGAAATAAATGATAGACATAATTAAAATAAAATACTGGTACTCCAAATAGATCTACATCAAAGAACAAGCTAACAAGAACCTTACAACAGTGTCTCCTTATTTATCATTAACCATTCCAAATTCTTTGAAGGTAATATTTCTTAAGTGAAGTTTTGAAAGAGATAGAGAGTGTTCTGTTGTTTAGTCGTATTTGGGAGTGAAGTGCATTCACACATTCCCTGTACCTAACTGAACACTGAATTGATTTAGTTTCAACTCTACATAAAATAAAACTATCTTCTACTGCACATTTCATTTGATAATGATGTGTATAAATACTAAAGGTGTTTTATTTGTTATAACGTTATATAAAAATACCATTATTGAATACACCAATGAATTTTTAACTTTTAACCATAAAAGATTATCATGCATTTTATCAACATTTGATCTAAACACACATGAGAGAGCGACACATGCAGCTTTATTCGGAATTATTCGTACTTTTCTTATATGAATTGATGAAGCAATAATCAAGATGTGGGAAAAAAACTAAGCATCAATATCCGCAGTGTAAAATACTTTAAACATCTTTTAATAACCGATAAAATATTACCCATTTTAGTGCCTGTGTCTAGGAGAGAAACAGAACTAATCAAGGAAAAACAGGCCCAACTCTCTAAAATATAATAAAAGTTGCAGCCCAACTGATCTCTGTCCAGTCTGGTGTCACAGCGACACAGAGCACCAGGCCTGATGAAGCAACTATGATGAAAAATATCAGAAAGAACTTTGAGTTAGAAGTTTAACTAAAAAACATTGAAGAATTAGAGCAGGGGTCTTCAACGTTTTCCAGGCCAAGGACCCCCAAACTGATGGCCAGGTGGAGCGGGGACCCC